AAGTGCACAACAAACACCATAGAGGGAGGTATAGGATGGCAATGCCACACAACCATCAAGCAGGCTGCCAAGGAAGAAGCGAGCCAGCATGACCACCACGGAGCACCGGGGGGCATCGCCCCACGCAGACAACACTTCCTTTTTTTCTTTTAAATACTATCATATTCAGCTCCACAACCCAGCGACCGCCCAACTTCACACACCCGCACACCATGTCCCATCATCCACCTTTATTCTCAATGTACTGTCTTGTATGCTCACTGGATGCTCTTCTGACCATTTCCCCGTCAGCCGATACAGACGTCACACAAGTATCCAGATCGTATCTAGAGTAACTCTATCAGAGCGGGTATCTATCTACCTATCTTAAGAGCTGCAAACCAGTATATTAGGCTACACCTAGCTAAAACCAAATACAATCTAATACTGCAATAAATTCAGGTTATAGTGTTCAGTTTCTTTTTGAAATTCTTTTAGGAGGTATTGATTCAGGTGTTTCTATTATTTTGTCCACCCCATTTATGTCAGTGAAGGTAAGCTAAATAACAGAAACCCCTCTCTATAATCCAACACCACAAACATCCTCAAAAAATAATAAAATAGTAAAAATAGAATCCAACTTCATACCAAAACATAAAAGCAGAACAAGAAAATGCAACATATGAAACAGGTCTTTTACTTATGACGGAGTACTTCTGTTTTGTGGTATTAAAAAGTTCTCAGGATCTCAGTACTTCTTCCACCACTGAAAATCAGGTCCTTTGATCAGCCTACACTGCTTCATTTTGGCGTGTGCGAGGATAGTTTTACTCACTTTTATGCCAAAATAGAGTGTCAGTCATTTACGGCTACATAGCTGTCATACCTCTCACAGATCCTCCATCACAATGTTTGATGACTTAAGCCTCGAGGTCTCTCTGTTGGCAGTCTTCAGCTGCTCAGATACAGGAATATAGGAAATATAACGTAAAATAAGGAATATATTGAAATCATTTGTGACTCCAGTGCAAGTTTTATCACTACTTTTATATTTTATGTGTTAAAATGGAACACAATCCTGTTTGTAGAAGCACGACTTCATGGCTGTTGAAGGTTGATTGCATTGATTAACTGCAGGTGATGAAGATGTTGCTCTTCATTGAACTCATCTCTATCACACACTGAAGTCCCTACACACACACACACACACACACACACACACACAACGCAGGTTTTCACTTATTCAACCTGATTGGACCTCTAAAATTGGGTGGAGCCATGATGGAAATTACATTATTGGTAAGACTGTATGTTGTCCAACCATAAAGGATAAGTACATCTTAAAAGAAACACAATGTGAACATTCAAACCATTTTTGATCCACAGTCAAAGTTTTTGTACAAACATGTACAGTAAATGTTCTGTTTAATCTGAAATTTTAACTAAAACTAAAGTTTAACTAGGCTAAGTGATTGAAAACAACTGTGTGAATGGACCACAGGCATTCAACAGGACATAATCAATCGTTCTTTGACTGTCACTTTGGTTTCTGTTGTTTTTTTCAGTCTGACATGAGGTTTTAAGCACTCATGGTAAATCTGTGTTTTATTAATTTGTGTGTTAAAATGTGAGATAAAAACAGATTTTAGAAAATAAACGTAATCGCATAAATATATACAATATAATACTGTATTAATATATATGTATTATTATGGGATAGCTAAGAAATAAAATAACTTTAATATTCTTTTATATCTCTGTCTTACATTACATTAACAAACACATAATAAATAATAAAATATACACAATGCACAAATATGTTTTATTTAACGCATTTACATGAAGTGAAAAAATAAGTTGAAATGTAAAGAAAGTAATTCAATGTATTATTACAAGGAATGTTTCAATGGCAAACAATAAGAACCATTTCAAAAAGTGCCTCTTTTCACATCTTTGGTCATCTACCAAAAGTACAGCTCACTTTGATTGACTGAAGAAGTGCTGGAACGAGATTTATGGGCGAATATATGAAAACAAATATAAAGTAACCACCAAGGCGGTTATATCTCTAAATCTAAAACAGCTCCAGTTTCCACGACACAACATTTTCTCCTCGTCATTGCACTCCGTGTACAGAGTCACATTTGATTGAGAAAAATATTAAGTCTCACTCTGACTTATGTGAAGTCATCGTCAGTGTTATGACAGTGAACAGTGTTACTGTCAGTCAGTAATTGTTTTCTTTATCTATCCATTATGTGTCCACAAATTAGTCAACATTATGTGTCTTTTAAATTAACATTTTAAAAATAAACCTATCTTTAGATATATTTTGGGTGTAAATACATACGTCTCATACTTAAAAGTAGCATTTTACTGACAGAAACCTATTGATACTGTCATTCATAGCATATTTTTCTTTGACTCAGCATCATTCTCACTTTGTCATAAAAGTGAATGGTCCACACATAATACTGCCCTGGCAACAACTGCATCAGAAATCATAATCCTCATAAATGGCATTTACAAAATAATAACAAACTTAAATACAAGGAATGAGGATTACTGATCAATAATTTATTTAAAAAATGTTCTAAAAGGCCATTCCAGGCTTAAAACGAGTCCTTCATTGTTTATTTGCCAACGTCTTGTTCGCTTTCAGTCCACTAGGTGGCTCTGTTTCCCTACATATAAAAACCTGTAGGGTTCAATTTTCACTGGCCATCCTGACGAGACAGTGTTCAGGTTTTATTCCCAGAAGGCACACGGTTCAGAGACAGCTCATACTTAAGTTCTCTGATTTCTTTCTAAAAGGCCTTGCTGCTGTTACAAAGTTAGTTACAAATGGACATTAAAGGTCCAGTGTGTAACATTTAAGAGGATCTATTGGCAGAAACGGAGTATAATATTCATTGGTTATGTTTCCATTAGTGTATAATCACCTGAAAATAAGAACTGTTGTGTGTTTGTTACCTTAGAATGAGCCTTTTATATCCACAGAGGGAGAGGGTCCTCTTCCACAGAGGCCGCCATGTTGAACCGCCATATTTCTACAGTAGCCCTGAATGGACAAACCATACACCGGCTCTGCCACCATAGTTCCTCCTATAAACGCTTGGATGGCTGAGCTGTATTCAAATGGTTGCAATCTGCAATGTCACCTGAATCCTACACACTGGTCCTTTAAATTAAAGATGGATGTTTCAGACAGGAGATCATAATGTCCAACAAAAGTCCACTCCAGTTCTGTAGATGAA